TGATCTGACCTACTATGGTTAAGGGTGGTAGCAGACATAATCTGACCTACTATGGTTAAGGGTGGTAGCAGACATAATCTGACCTACTGTGGGTTAAGGGTGGTAGCAGACATAATCTGACCTATTTTGGGTTAAGGGTGGTAGCAGGCATATACTGAAACTAAGTCAATTACATGTGAAAAAGGGTATGATAGCAGACATATCTGAACTACCTACATGTAGTGCTCTAGGTTAAGATAGCATGTTGAAACTATCAGGTCACTCATTTTTAACAGAAAATGAACCTATACGAATATAACGCTTGACAGCATCTGACTTCCATCTACCCATATTTTGAATAGCATTTTCTGAAAAACCCACTTTTGCTGCATGTGTAGCAGCTCCAATTCTGAAGCTGTGACCCTTGTATAGTTTTGGATCCAAACCAATAAATTTGATAACTTCATTTAATTTTTTTGAAACAAAGGAATATGACACAGGACAACCATCTAAAAACTGGAATAGAGGTCCACTCAAATGGCGGTAATGTTTAAGATACTGAAACAATGCGTGTACTGGACAAGAATGGATGTTGTTTGATGTTTCTAAAGTAATAAACCTTGGTTGTCCTAAACTAATGGTTTTGAAATGACGTAGGACCAATTGGACATGCTTTAATTTGTTATTCACTACTTCAAAATGCACATCTGACCTTTGAATTACACTTTCTGCCCGTGTTTTTGATGTTATGTCCAATTCACCTAACCTGAAAAATCCATGGAATGCGATTAAAAACAAGGCCTTAAGCAATAGCATTTGGGCATGATCAGGGAGTGTGTGTCTCAAAGCATTAACCATCTTAATCAGGATTTCTCCAGTTATTGGCAAACGTGAATCTACAGTTGGACCTAATTTGTGACACCCTTTCAGCATCTTTTGCACTAAAAAACACTGAGATGGATCTGGCATATTAAGAATCTTATGAATGTAAGTCAAAGCTGAAATATGTGATGTTATTGAGCTTGATGAATATCCAGTATCAAACAAATGACCCATGAAATTGCAGAGTGTAATGGATTTTACAGGTAAGGATATGGAATCCTCCCAGGTAAGGAAAAGCTTCCATGAATGTTGGTATGCTTTTCTTGTTGCCGGGGCTAATGAAGCTTGTAGTAGTCTTTGTGCTGAAGATGTTAAATGTAAAGAAGGCCCTCTGGAATTTGTGTTGGTTGTTGTTGTAAATATGGTGCTTCCCGAAATGCTTCCTGAAATTGAAAACGGGACAATTTGTCAGCTGTATCATTCAACTTCCCTGGAATGTGCTTTGCACGGAAATGAATATTGCACTGTAGTGACACTAAAACAAGCCTGCGTAACAATTTCATCAAGGATTTCTCCCTACAAGACTTTTTGTTGATAACCTCTACTACAGCCATATTGTCTGATAGGAACAACACTTTTTTGCTTTGGAAATGAGCTGACCACACTTCCAGCGCAAGAACAATTGGAAACAATTCCTTAATGCAAATTTGATAAACTTCTAATCCTAAAGGCCATTTACTGACAAACCACTTTGACCCTAAAACAGCTGCAAATCCGAGGGAACCTGATGCATCTCATCTGTGTATAGACTGAGATGGTCTGAAGATAGCCAAGCATTGTCCAAAAATACTGATTTACCATTATAATGGTCAATGAACATTGCCCAAGTTTCTAAATCAGCCCTGGATTCTTTATTCAATCTAATGTAAAATTTAGGATTAGTTAAACCACATGTCAAGTTTATCAGTCGACGAAGGAATGTTCGCCCTGGAACCACCACAGAACACGCAAAATTCAAAAGACCTATAATAGATTGCATGTCTTTTAATGTGACCTTTTTGCACCTCTTAAATAAGTGAATTTTATCCTGGATTTTTTGGATTTTATCCACTGGAAGACGGCATTCCATTTTCTCTGAATCTACCTCAATTCCATATATGACAATATTAGTTGTAGGTGCCTGGGTTTTATCCATTTTAATTGGTACCCCAATTGACTTGCAAAGGAATAAAAAGCTAGCCAGATCATTTGAACAAGTAATTGAATTGGGGGGTCCCACAAAGAAAAAATCATCTAAAATGTGTGACATACCTGAAGCATGAAACACATTCACCATGACCCATTGCAAAGCTTTACTAAATGACTCAAATATTTGACAACTACTGCTGGCACCCATTGGCAGACACTTATCATAATAAAACTGACCTTCCCAAGTAAACCCTAGCAAATGATAATCAGATGGGTGAATTGGGATAATGCGAAAGGCATCCTCAATGTCTGTCTTTGCCATTAAGCAACCTCGCCCAAACGTTCTAACCAGAGCAACTACCTCATCTATAGAATCATACTGGACTGCTGAATTTTCTTTTGGTATGTTTGAATTAACCAATGATTTTTTGGAAAAGAAAGGTCATGAATCACCCTGAATTTTCCCGTATTGCCCTTTGGGATTAGTCCAAGTGGCGAAACAACAAAGTTATCAAATGGTTTGTATGAGAATGGACCTGCAATACGCCCCTTGTTTAAACCCGTTTGTATGTAGTTATTAATGATCTCAGGATGTTCTAATGTAGATTTATGGTTTTGAGGGGTACATGGTGGAGGAGCAGATGTACAGCCTAATTTAAAACCATAGGTGAAGCCATTAATCAGGTATGAGGATAGCACACTGTCATAATTGATTAAAAAACTACTTAAACTTTTTGGGCTGACTGGAGATGGTAACTGGTTGGATATGGGTATTAGCTGGGGATTTGGTTGTTGTATTTGTACCTTGTTTTTGTTTCCGCACTCTGCAATTGACTCTCGCATGTGACATGGAACATAATTGACACTTGTGGATGAAATGACAGTGAACAGGGTTCACCATTGTTAAAGGCATAACAGAACTTGATAGGTCTGCTGCCTGTATTTGTACGAAAGGGCTGCTGGGATTGAAAATTGCATGAGGCAGCCTTGACCCTTAACTCTTCAACTGGTTTTTGCCACGGTAAATCTGATGATTCTCTTAACAAACGAAAGTTCTCATCATATACCCTCCATGCCTTATCCCCTAACATCTTATTCATTTCCCTGATAAAAAAGCAGTATTTCAAAAGGTGGGGAGCTTGTTCTGGGTACTTTTCAATGTAAATAGCCATAAATATTAAGAAGGCATCAGTCCACTGCTAGACAGTGGAGTTTTGGGTTTTGAGGATCCCTGTTGCACTGTTACAGACCCTGTCGAAATCTTTAAGGATATTGGTTCCTCTCCCTGCTGCAACAAAATGCTTAAATCTATAAACTGGTTTGCCCAGATTTTGGTTTTTACTCGTTGTTGTGTTGCAGCACCAAGAGGAATACCATCAGAAATGGAAATAACATTTTTAATTTTTGATGTTGCTGGCTCACCTGAGTTTTGTTGAAGTAGAGCATTCACTAAATTTGCAATGTTTGTAGATGAGTCTGTATTGACTTGTTGAATTTCTGATGGGGATGTAGAGGTTGCAGGCTTTGGAATCACATTGCATGCTGATGGGTTTTGAATTGGAACCTCAGAATGGACTACGGTACTGTTCACAATGTCACTTGCAGTAGTATTTTCACATATATCCCAGTTAGAAATATCATGATTGACATTTGCACTATTGCCGTCACATACATTCAAAGCACTGTCAGTGGTGCTAGAGTTTTGAGACTGCCTTAAGATAGCTGTCGCTAAAAGGTCATAGTCAATTGCTGCTGCCGCAGAAGGATTAGGATTGTTCATGGGCATTGAAGGTGACTTCTTCCTTTTTGTTGCTGTTTTTGGTGTGGAGTCTGTCCGTCGCTTAGGCATGGTTTATTCTAACCTAGTGGAAGAATTTGCACACAAATTAAAAGCACTTAATATAACTTCTAAGTTCCAGTACTATAACTTAGAATTATGTACATAGACTTGTACAGATAAGAATTTTAACCATGAAACAACTTTTACTATTAAATCAGTACATGCCTGATTAACATTCCTTAGAGACAGGCTTGCACAGAATAAACACTTAGCAATCTTAGAAATTCTGCAAGTCTGAATAAAATTACTTAGAAAACAGACAATCATCAGAATATACTTAGAAATTCTGCACATGTCTGAACAAAATTACTTAGAAAACAGACAAGCATTAGAATACACTTAGAAATTCTGCACATGTCTGAATAAAATTCCTTTGAAAACAGACAAGCATTAGAATACACTTGGAAATTCTGCACTTGTCTGAATAAAATTCCTTAGAAAACAGACAAGCATTAGAATACACTTAGAAATTCTGCACGTCTGAATAAATTACTTCGAAAACAGACAAGCATTAGAATACACTTAGAAATTCTGCACGTCTGAATAAAATTACTTAGAAAACAGACAAGCATTAGAATATACTTAGAAATTCTGCACGTCTGAATAAAATTACTTAGAAAACAGACAGGCCTCAGAATACACTTAGAATTTCTGCACGTCTGAATAAAATTACTTAGAAAACAGACAAGCATTAGAATACACTTAGAAATTCTGCACGTCTGAATAAAATTACTTAGAAAACAGACAAGCATTAGAATACACTTAGAAATTCTGCACATCTGAATAAAATTACTTAGAAAACAGACAAGCATTAGAATACACTTAGAAATTCTGCACGTCTGAATAAATTACTTCGAAAACAGACAAGCATTAGAATACACTTAGAAATTCTGCACATGTCTGAATAAAATTACTTCAAAAACAGACAGTCCTCAGAATATACTTAGAAATTCTGCACCTCTGAATAAAATTACTTAGAAAACAGACAGTCCTCAGAATACATGCACTTAGAAATTCTGTGTCTATAACTTACTCAGGATTTTACACAGATAAACCATGTAAACTTTGATATTTTTATATTATGTAAATATTGAAAAAACTTAGAAAGTTTATAAAAACAGACTTAAGTTTGCATCAGATATAAGTAAGAGGCACATAAAATTAGCCTGACTTCATTTCAACAGAAATTTTAACAATTCAATAACAACTGGCCTTTATTTTCTGCATACTATTATGCACAGCATATTTGATGCTCCTCATGTATTTCACCATTGGTGCCGGAGAATTTGCATCACTTTCAACCCGCAAGTGGACCCCATCGCGCCCCAGGTATGACAAGTCTGCCCAAAATCCTCTATGTTTCCAAAAATGAACATGATGAAGCCCAGAGGTTAATTGTTCTAAGTGTGTGTTTATTTTTAAAACTTCGTCGTTATAACCCACCGGGGATTTCCGTGGGTCGCGGCGTAGAAGCTGGCCTATTAAAACGTTTACCACACCAAGTCCATGCACAAGATAATTTGCGTATGAAACAATGTCCTGAGCAATAACATGCGCTGCACGAGTTGTAGCATCATTTCCCCCGATATCCAAAAAACACACTGTAGGAACTGAGGTAAAGGTGCACAGTTTCGGCGAGTTGGACAGACTGCGGACTGTCAAACCTCCCTGACCTCGAAAATAAACTTTGTACAGATCTTCATTCAAAGACAAGTTCTTATACACTGGGTTTTGCAATAAAAATCGTTCTAAGCGCTTCACATAAGAATGTCCAATAATGCCAACCACTGTCGGATCCATCATGTTCACTAATCAAACCGTGTCAAACCAGTTTCTCTGAAGTCCGTACCTCGGGCGCCGATGGTGAAGTATAATCCACATACAAACTCAGAATGAGTGGGAATAAGGAACACTTACTTTCAATAACACTTCTTCAAATTATGACAAATCCTCCCGCGTACATCACTTCTAACTTTGTTTGAAGTTCACGGCCAAATATTTAATTTTCACACAATCAATCTTGCTGTTTACATAAAAGCGTCCTTCACATACCAGGGTAAAAACAAAAGTGACCTCCACGTGATCATAATCCTGCAATTTCATTGGTTATTGATGAGGTACAAGAACAAATATTTCTACAAATAGATATAGATGAACCCTCAGGTTAAAAATAACTATAAAAACCGAATACTAAAAATAGATGTGATAAAAATAGATGGAACGATACAATGATGCCATAAAACATATTATTTAAAAATAATATTTCATTAACCCCCAAAATATTTCATTTGTTGTAATTTTCTTTCTTTAGGTCCAGTCGAGAATTGTTCATGTAAATTAAAATGGCTAGAATTGCCGATGGAAATCTACATTTCTTGAAGTGTAGTTGGTACTCAGGGCAATTGAAAAGTGGAAGGATATTTATATGCCAACATAACGAAGTACGTCGTTCCTACGACAGAGATCAGGTGAAAGGAATTGCTGATGTTTGTGAAGTGAACATCGCAGATGAAAACATGGTAAAGTTAGTGAGACTTGGTAAATTTAATAAGGATAAGAAACGCCGTCCATTGCTCGTTACCTTCTCAACCCCAGAAAAAAAAAGTGGAGTTCTTTAAACGAGGTGGAAAGTTGCGGGAAAACATTGAATTCAGTGAAGTACGATTTGCAAATGATTTGACACGCACAGAGAGGGAAAATGAAAATAAACTGTATATGAAAGCCAAGGAATTGAATAAAAATGATTCGGGGGAATTCAAGTACCGTGTGCGCGGTCCACCTTGGGCAAGGAAAGTGGTAAAGCTCAGGGTAAGCGATCCAGACTAGAAGATACAAAGAGGAATGTAAATAATGTATATAGTTTTAAAGTGATAAACAAACTTTCGCTCTTCTACACCAATGCAGACAATTTAGAAATAAGTTCAATGAGTTCCAGGTCAGGATAAGGGACACAAAGCCATTGATAATAGGAATAACAGAAGTGAAGGCAAAAAATGCAACATGTGCACCTAATCCAGCTGAATATACGATGGATTGGACGAAGGAATACAGGATGTTTCATGTAAATATTGAAAGCAGCATAGGTAGAGGACTACTTTTATATGTACATGATTCTCTTTATGCAGAGGAGGCAAAACTTTCAGCGTCCTTTGAGGAGCAGCTTTTTGTGAAAATAAGGATAAACAGCACAGACTATTTCCTAGTTGGCCTCATTTATCGGTCACCGTCAGACAATACCGAAGAAAAAAATGAATGTTTAAGAAACCTGATAACTGAAGCCTCAAGAATGAAGTGCAAACACTATCTCATTATGGGAGATTTCAACTATCCTAATATAGACTGGGATTTACTGTGTACAAAAAGTGAAAACTCTGCTGAGCAGAAATTCATAGATTGTCTGCAGGACAACTTCATGTTCCAAACCGTCACAAAACCAACAAGGTGGAGAGGAACGAACATTCCAACCATTTTGGATCTTGTGATCACAAAGGACGAAAATGCTGTGGAGGAAATGGAATACCAAAGCCCATTAGGAAAGAGCGACCACTGTGTTATCTGCTTTAACTATGTTTGCAGGGCAATACTGAAAAGCGGACCAAAAAAGAGGAGGACTTATAGGAAAGCTAACTTTGCCGGTATGAAGAAGGAAATTAGCGAAACAGATTGGGAAAGCATTCTGGAGTCACAGAGCACAGTAAACGAGATGTGGCGTCAATTCCGACAAAAAATTGAGGACATAGAAGATAAATATGTGCCAGTAGTCACCATCAGACCAAGCAGAAAAACGAAAATGCCCTTGGACAAAGAAACTGTCACCTTGATTAAAGAAAAAAACGCACTGTGCAGAAAATATGTGGCTACCAAGGATCCAAATATAAGGAAAAAGTACAATAGGACTAGGAACAAAGTGGCAAAGTTTGTGAGGAAAGCAAGGAAGTCATTCGAAAAGAGTATAGCACAAGAGGCAAAAACTAACCCAAAAAAGATATGGCAGTATATTAACTCAAAAAGTAAAACGAGACAAGGAATCGGGGAACTGTGTGTCGACCCTAAAAATCCAAAGTCCAATAAAACAGAAGTGGATGAAGAGAAAGCAAATATTTTAGCACACTTTTTTAGTAGCGTTTTTACACAAGAACCCGAGAAAGCCATACCCGAACTGGACAAACGCCCTATCAAGAAGGAGTGGACAGAATTAAGAATACTGGAGGAAGAAATTATCAAAGCACTGAACCTGTTAAAGCCAGATAAGTCACCAGGATTAGACAACATGCATCCAAGGCTATTGAGGGAATTAAGAGTGGAATTAGCAGAACCCCTAGCAAGGATCTTTAGGAAGTCAGTAGATGAGAGAAAAGTTCCAGAAGAATGGAAAACAGCACGTATTAGCGCGATCTTTAAAAAAGGAAACAAGGCGATAGCAGGAAACTACAGACCAGTGAGCTTAACGTCAGTTGTGTGTAAAGTCATGGAGAGACTAGTTAGGGACCACATAATAGAGCATTTTGTAAGCAACAACCTCTTTACAACTAAACAATATGGCTTTATCAGTGGTAGATCAACTTCACTACAACTGTTAAGGGTATTAGAGGAATGGACAGAGGCTTTGGACAGTGGACATGATGTTGACTGTATCTGCATGGACTATCAGAAGGCCTTTGATACTGTCCCACATAACAGACTGCTTAAGAAACTGGAAGCATATGGAATAGGGAAAGAACTTATAGACTGGATAAGGAACTACCTAAGTGGAAGGAAACAACAAGTATCCATAAATGGGGCAACATCTAAATGGCATAGCGTAAATTCCGGCATTCCGCAGGGGTCAGTAATTGGGCCGATAATGTTCGTCATATTTATCAACGATCTCCCTGATATCGTGAGCTCTACTGTGTACCTTTTTGCCGACGACACGAAAATCTTCAACATAGTTAAGGGTAGGGAAGATAAAATGACACTTCAAAGAGATCTTGAGAAACTAACAGAATGGAGTAACACCTGGCTCTTAAAGTTCCATCCAGAAAAATGTAAACACATGCACATTGGAAAGAAAGACCCAGACCAAGACTTTGAGTATGAGCTGTTAGGACGCACTCTGGAGAAGGTACAAGAGGAAAAAGACATAGGAGTCATCATAGATGAACAACTCAGCTTTGATAGACACATAAGCGAGAAGGTGAAAAAGGCAAACTCTATTTTTGCAATGTTAAGGCGAACTTTTCAACATTTGGACGAAGAAACTTTCATTCCTCTTTATAAGACACTTGTCAGGACACATTTAGACTATGCGAGTTCGGTCTGGTTCCCCTTCAAATCAAGACACATAGAGATGATTGAAGGAATGCAGAGAAGAGCTACCAAGCAGATTCCAGGATTGGCAAAATTAAGCTATGAAGAAAGGTTGAAGAAACTAAAACTACCAACGCTGAAGTACAGGCGCCACCGAGGAGATATGATTGAAGTGTACAAAATAACAAGTGGAAAGTATGACCCATTAGCAGCAGACTTTATAAAGTTAAGGAGAGACCACGTTACTAGGGAACAAGGAAGAGGGAATTCCAAGAAGCTGTTTGTACAGAGACCGAGACTCAATATAAGAAAATTCAGCTTCAGTGTTAGAACTGTCAGTCTATGGAATAGCTTACCAGAGGATGTTGTAAGTGCTAAAACCCTGAATACTTTCAAGAATAGAGTAGACAACTTCTGGAAGGACCAGGATGTGCTCTATAATTACAAAGTAGAGTTTAAAACCGATTACACCGGTAGTCACCCAAGTAGTCACCCAAGTAGTCACAAAGCAAGTTTGGAGTCCGACGAAGAGGACCTTGACAGGACCTGTGTTGGAAAAATACCATAAGTAACCATAAGTAAGTAATCTACTGCAAAACAGAAAATCAGTAAGCATGTTTTCATCCGAAAGACAGGTCTCCACGTCCGAATCCGGCCCCGAGACTCAGATCCTTACTCCTCGACTATAGATTAAATGTATCGTCGTATACCCTAAATTCGTCCATACCCTAAAATCGTCCTCAAACTTCACGCAGCCCGCACGTTTCACACTATGTATCGATGACGTCATTTTTGATCGTTATGACTGGTAAACACAATGATGCAAATATGTTAGCAATTATTTTTAGAATATGCAGTTTAAACTCGTAGTAAAATTAAAGAAAATAAAAATCCTTAACCTATCTTTTTTTTTCCTTAGGTCCATTTTTTATTGAAAGTGTACACGGCAGTTACGTTCCCAAAAATCACTTCCAGATCAAATTTACCTTCATCTTATTTTTGTCGATACATGTATATTGAATTACGTGCATGGGCTTTTAATTTAAGAATTTGAAAACAAAAATTAAATGTTCCCAAATCATAAGGATCTTTTACACTTTCCACCTAGATATTGACGTAACCCGTGTTTAGTTGACGTATTATGCGGCCATGCGGGTATTACAAATTATTTCGGAAAAAAATCTAAGTCATCACTGCAAATGATAGAGTCTCCAAAAATCAAAGATTTTACCAGTAACTTTGACTAATAACTGTGAATGCTTCCAACAATAGAATTTCTGTTGGTCCTAAAATTAAAAACATTTTTATATCATGCTGGTGTTTTTCTTTTTTTCTGTATGTTGTATATAATCGAGATTTTTTTCCCTCCAGGAATATGCTATTAAACCGACAAATAAATAAAATCAATATTTGTCGTACATCAGAATTTATCATAACCCCCCCCCCCTTAAAAAAAATCAATCTTTCAAGATGCCCAAGCAATGATGATCACATTGTTGGAATAGATCTACTTTTGACCTTGCTCAGTCGCCAGTCCCGATCGATACCCCCCCCCCCCCCTCCTTCGCAAAAAATCGAAAAGTAGTCAAGTACATGTGTAATTAAGAAGAGA